CACAAATCTGAATGTAATCAAACTCTTCCTCAAACTCTTCACTTCTGCTCCTCTCCACAAGTGTCACTTTTTCCCCATGTCTCCAGAATTTGCGTCGAGCTCACAGCAGGTCCGAGCTGCTGTAGAGAGAAGCAAAGTGCAGTGCTTAAAGTGTAAAGCGACTACTCAAGGATTTGTGCGCAAGTAAGTCTTTATTTCTATAGCACTTTTCACAGACATTTTCTGTCCCCAAAGACGCTTTACGGAGCATTATTCAGCATTATTCATTCACTCTATACCTGGTGATGGTGAACTACTATTGTAGCCACAGCTGCCCTGGGGCACACTGACAGAAGTGCGGCTGCCCTGCCAATCGGCGCCATCGGTCCCTCCGACCACCACCATCACACACACACACCACTTTCATACTAGGTAATGTGGGTGAAGTGTCTTGCCTAAGGACACAACGACAGGTATTGCCACTGGCGCCCCCCTGTGGCACCTGATTTTCCTAGTGTCTCCATCCAAGTATTAACTAAGTATTGCTGAGCTTCTGAGATCTGATGTGATCAGGCTTTTACAAGCTTTTATGGCCACAGTATGGCATAAATGAGCTTTATAAAAGCATATACAAAATGTGATTCAGATTAGTGGATCTCCAGTTACATGAATTTACCGATTTCCTGTATGACGTAATTTTGAGACACTCATTTTGAGAAATCCACAAATACAGACACGTACTTGACCAGCAGGGGGCAGCAGCTGGTCTAAACCAGGACTAATCTTGGACTTGAGAGAGAGAGAGGGAGAACATCGAGTCCGTGGAGCAGGGTGTCGGTGAAGCACGTTTGGGGGACGGCTGTGTTTAGCCCTGTGAGGGGTGGAGCGCTGAGCCGGTCCTTTTGCCCGCGGTTACCTGACCGTCTATGTGGGCACAACTCCGAGTCGTTCAGACACTCGGTTCTGGTTTAATCCTGTTTTAGTCCTAGTTCAGTCCTGGTTCAGTTCTGGTTTAGTCCGTAGCTGTTGAGGCGTTTGATAATGGTAAACTTAAGCCTAAGTGACATTACAGAAAGTTAAGTTAGAAAGAGACAATATGACGGTATGAGGTTTGCTAACACATATAATTATTTAGTAACAACACTGATCATAATTAATAATCAATAAGTAATTTGGCTTGTAGACAATTCATTAATGTTACACACCATCCTACAGATGCTTCCATTTCAGCAGTGTCAAACGTTTTGTGTGCCAGCTGCTGCCCCCTGCTGGTCAAGTACATGCCTGTATTTGTGGATTTCTCAAATTGAGTGTCTCAAAATGACTACTATGAATACTGGAAATCGGTGGATTCATGTAACTGGTGATCCACAAATGTGAATCACATTTTGCAAACAGAATTTTAGTTTTACAAATGAAATAATTTCTTGCAAATGAAAAAAGATATATTACAAATACACATCTATTTGCAAATACCAAAATACAAGTTACAAATATTAAACTTGCATTTGTGGATATCAAAACACATGTACAAACCAATGACTATTTGTAGATCACCATCTGTGTATTTGTGAATATTAATGAGACAAAAAAAATATATCATCCAAGCTGTTTTTTCAGTTTTGGTCAGACGCTGGTGGACACTGTCTTATATCTGCCTGCAGGAGGAGCTAACTACACTGAAACTCCTCTGAAACTAACACAACTGCATGTTTACATGTTCTGTATGTCACCTCAATCTATTCATCTGTCCTGAGTGAGGGGACATATTGGCAGAATCATTAGCATGTCCAGTTGACAAACGGAATTTTTCCTTTGTCATCACATTTCTGTGCTCAGCTGAAGAGTCTGTACATTGTTTATGAAAAATGAATGTATTTATAGTGGATCTGGCTGGGCAATATGAGGAAAGAAGGATAAAAAAAAGGGTTGATAAATGAGGTCTTATGTTTTACTCATAAACATGAGAAAATAGCAGTTTTTGTGGCCATGCCAGCTTGTCAAAGCCTGATCCCGTCAGGTCTCAGAAGCTCAGCAGGGCCGGGCCTGGTTAATATTTGGATGGAGACACTAGGAAAATCAGGTGGCACAGGGGGCACCAGTGGCAAAAACTGTTGTTGTGTCCTTAGGCAAGACACTTCACCCACATTGCCTAGTATGAAATTTGTGTGTGTGAGTGATGGTGGTGGTCGGAGGGTCTGATGGCGCCTATTGGCATGACAGCCGTGCTTCCGCCAGTCTGTCCCAGGGCAGCTGTGGCTACAATAGTAGCTTACCATCACCAGGTGTGGAGAAAAAGAATAATGAATCTATAAATGCTCTGTAAAGTGTCTTTGTGACATATGTCTGTGAAAAAGCTCTATATAAATAAAGACTTACTTACTTACAGTTTACTTTGCCCTACAAAGTCAAAAGAGTTGAACTCCAGAGTGTGAAACTGAGAAAAATGACTTCAAAGTTTCTGTTTGTCCAGACAAAAGGATAATAGGCAGGCTCCAAAAATTTGACAACTAGTTGCAATAATGAAGAAATATTTGCATGTGAAAAATATTGAGCTCAAAATGTCCCTTTGACCTTATTTGTCAGTTCCTGTTCTGTGTCTTTGGATCATGAGCCAAAAAGTTTTTGTGCAAAGACAAAAGGCAGAAACTGACATGATCATGATTTGTTAGATTTCCAGACTTTCATCCATTGGAAGAAAAAGATTCCCCAAGCTCCAGTCATCATGTGTTAGTTTGAAATGATCTAGAAGAGTTTTGGATTTCCTGTTTAGTGTCGATCAGGATCATGTGGTGACATTTACATACACAGTTTGACACAAGTGACTTTGAAGTATAGTGTGTACACTATGAAAAAATACACCAAATACTTTCACTTTAAAGTAGGTCTGTAACGATAATCAATAAATTAATTAATCGTACGTAAATTTGATTTGTATGCTTGTTTGTTTTCCTCGCTGTCTGTCGCTGTCAAAGAGGGTGAATGTTAGAGGGCTTCTATCGCTCTCTGACTCCTCTCGTTTAACATGTGTAGTGATGCTTGAACAACAGTGGATGTGCGCGCAGCCGGAGTTCAGAAAGCGCAGCTGTCTGTGCAGCTAACATGAAGCCGCAACACAAGAGCCGATGTCAGAGTAACAAAACAGTTCATCGCTGAGTGCCAAAACAAGTCACGATGCCGAATCAAAACTGGTGAGCGGGACACGTCTCAACGGCCATGTGCGTCAAATGCGGTGAGCGAAACGCAAACGATGAGAAGAAATGTCTCATGAACCCAAACCCGAGCGACACCACTAGCCCCGCTCCCAGGAGAACTCGAAATCCATTGAAATCCCACAAGACACCGACACAACACCATACAGGACAGTGACGCCCTCATAACGAAACAGCATGCTGTGTCGCGAGTTAATACGAACATTTAAATGACTAAAATGACGAGGCCACAGCAGCAGCCACAGAGAGAGTGGCCGCTATATACCAATGTAATGATTAAATTCACTTTTAAGGACAAGTTTGTTACAGAGATAACAGAGATAATCCATTTTATTTAATGCTTTGGTTGTATGTGGTTCAGCAGTGGTTTATTCAAGTGCATTTTTGTTAACAAGTCTTTGCTGTGAACCAGACACATTAGACTAGTTCTATGTTAACAAGTCTGTTTTATTTAAGCCTATTGTTTTTGTTTGTCTTACAGGTCCTATGTTAAATGTTCTTTAGAAAGTAACGTTTGTTGATCTTTGAAAGGGTGTATTTGCATTTTTATTCCATGGTCATTATATTAGTTGAAATTGGTCGCAAAATGTCAATATTATTGTTTATCGCAATAAATTCATGGTCAATTAATCGTCTGCCTGCTGAAGAAATCATCCTGAGTTTGTAGAGAACATTTTGTATGTGGAGTGACAACAAAGCAATATCCCGATCCCTCGCTCAACCTTGGTTATGAATTTAAAAAAGTCAAGGCCAAAGCAAAAGGCACCAAGAAACACCTTCCACTGCAAACAGACCAAGACATGATGTTGCTGTAAAACCACAAGAACAAGAAAGTGCAGCTCAGTCTGTTTGTCTTCTGTAACTCTCACTTAACAAACGGGATTTTGTTTTGTTGTCGCTCCACATACAAAATGTTCTCTGCAAACTCAGGATGGTTTAGGCAGTCAAAGGTTTCCTTTTTGGTCCTTCCTGTGGATCAATCACCTTTCACTATTTTTCAATGCCGTTGGGAAGAGAAACAGTTTGAACAGAGGTTTGCAGTCACATACATCTGATTCACTTTTGCATGGAGTTCGCAAACACAGACAGACACACACAGACACGCACACTGGCATAGATAGACGGATAAACACAGATGCACACATACACTCACACACACACAGACACACACACAGAGACACACTCACACAGACGCTGCTTCACTTTACACCAGAATAACTGTATGTGACGGAGCCAGTCCGTCTATGATTTTATGTGGCGTTTCCCCCCCTACACGTAACCGCGGTCTGCACTGGCGTGCCCGCACACACACACGCTGAGTCATCCCGCACACACGAGTTTCATTCATTCGCGCCGTTATTCACTGTTATCGCCTTCTCCCCTCTTTCCTCCGTTACTAATTCGCCAAGGCTGCACACTTGAGCGCGTTAGAGTAATTTATTTCATACTTGTCTCGTACCTGTCCGATGACGCCGTCTCTCTCTCCTTCGACGCGGCGCCTCTGCCAAACCGAGCCACTATTTCCTGGATGTTGAAATAGGCGCTGTTCGCGCCGTGGTGCTGACCATGTGACGCGCATTATGTAATACGATTTTCTTTACGTTTTTCAGCTATTATTTTTGACATTTAATGCACATTATTACTGTGTGCTCAACGTAGCATAGACAAGGTAGGTTTATGGTTAAATTGTTTGTCTTTAGAATGATTTTGATGTATTGCTCAGTGGGAGGAGTCAGGTGGTATAAAGGGGAGCCGTTCCTGGCTGTTAATCAGTCTGCCACCGGGTACAGAGCAGGTAACGTCGGGTGCTGTACAGAATCTTAAAGGGGACAGTTAACGCTGAACTCGACCCTGTTTCTTCGCTGTAAATACTTTTTGGATTGTTTTGCTCACTGTAAATATTCTGCACTGTTTTTGGGATTTTTGCACTTTGGACACTGGCACAATAAACCACCTGCACTCAGAATCTCGATCTTGCCTAAGTTTTTAATAGAGCCCCGCCACACTGTATTTTTTTCTTTCAGTCTTGTCTGATTCGTCTCATCATGGAACCTCCCATTGAAGAAATCAAACGTATTCTCCAGAAGGGCAATAATGAAAAGGCTGTTGCTGAAACAATGAAGCTATTGAAGGATTGGAGGAAGATTCCCATCAACATTGCCATCACCGGGGGAGTCTGGAGCCGGGAAGTCCACTCTGGTGAACGTCCTGAGGGGGGTGGACCACCGAGCTGCAGACGCTGCCCCCACTGGAGTGAAGGAGACCACCATGGAGCCCACTAAATACACTCATCCACACTTCCCTAACGTCACAGTGTGGGACCTCCCAGGAGTGGGCACCACCAGGATGCCTGCAGAGAAATATCTGGAGCATGTGGGCTTCCAGAAGTACGAATTCTTCTTCATCGTCTCTAATGTTCGCTTCACAGAAAATGATGCAAATCTGGCTCAAGAGATCCAGAGAATGGGAAAGAAGTTCTATTTTGTGCGATCTAAGATTGACAGTGATGTGTACAACGCAAAGAGGAGTCTGGGTAAGAGTGAAGAAGAAACCCTCAAGGAAATTCGAAGTGACTGCTTCAAAGGTAAGGAGAGCCTCTTTGGTTTCGTGTTCACACTCAAACTGCACACGACTGCTTATTGGTTAATGTTGAAACTATTGTTTTGGTGCAGGCCTCAAGGAGCTGGGTTTGAGAAACCCAAAGGTCTTCCTTATCTCCAGTTTGGATCTCCACTTGTATGATTTTCAAACGTTGATGGATACTCTGACAGCAGAGATGCCTGACCACAAGCGCAATGCCGTGCTCCTCGCTGTTCCTGTCTTCAACCGTGAAATCATTGAGAAGAAGAAAGAATCATTGAGTGGCCAAATTGCAGGCCTCAACGCTGTTTCCATAGTGGCTGCATTGGTTCCTTTCCCTGGTGTCTCTGCAAAGATTGATGATGCTATTTTGAAAGCATTTGTCCACGACTGTAAGATGTCACTGGGGTTGACAGAGGAGAACCTGCAGAGCCTTTCTCTAGTGTCAAACGTGCCTGTGAGTGAGCTGAAGGAGGTGATGAAGTTACCAGTGGATGAAGAGGATTTAGTCTATACCATCTTTACTGTGCTGCTCCCTCCAGTGAAGATCTTCTCTGGAGGCATCGCACCCAAACTCTACCACATCCTTGACACGTTTGCAGAGGACGCACAGAAAGTCTTCAAGAGGGCCCTGAATCCATAGAACGTCCCTCAGATGGTGCAGCAGTTTATGTAGCCATTATACTAGTGTATCAACTGTCATCATGTGTAGTTCAGTATCTAACCAAGCACACGCCACATGAGACCTGCACCTGTCTCTTTGAAACAGCACAGGGACCAAGGAGGATGGGAGGGCATCTGACAC